GATTTCGAGGGGACCCAATCGGAGAGCGGCCTGGGAAAAGAAAGCGCGAGACGTCAGACTGCAGTTTTGAAGACGGAAAGCTGGCGACTGTGCGGGCTGAAAAGTTGCAGGACAGTCATGCACCGCTCGGAGAAGCTGGCAGGCAAAATGTGAAGCGAGGAAGCGCGGGAAGATAACCGGAACCCAAAGCCATACCGGTTGACTAGAGGGTTTTGCGGTGTTGGAGCATGTGCTTTGTCAGAAGATATGGAACAGCGGAGCTTAAAAACACGAAATAACACAAATCAGCAAACCGCAGCACATTACAACAAGAAGTACGAGCACAACAGATTGGTCAGAATTCAAGAGAGCAGTGATGCCGGACCCATGCATGACATACCATATACGCACTGATAGCCATGCAGGGAGAGCACCGCAAAAAAGGCGAGGACGCGGCGTTGGACAGTCATATTCAACACGACCTTCGACGATCATCCATAACCATGGAAGTTAATGAGCGCTTCACCTGTAATGTCGGAGAGAGTGTCCGCTGCACTTCCGGTTCCCACAACCGGTGGACAGCTTGCAAAAGGTGCAGTAAGGGGGGGACGATCCAGCCCAGGTGTTGGCCCATCGGGTGGGGGGGGGCGGGCGGAGTCGTAGGGCGGCCGACGGCTGGAGGGGGAGTGCTGGGGGACCGGGGAACGCGCACTGCAAAGAAAAGTAAAAAAACATGTCTGCTGACGTCAGCAAATAGGGTAACTATGATTAGTTTTGAATATTGGGGGGAGGACGTGCGCGAAGTTGCTTCACAGAGGTGGGCGGTCGGATGCTGATGGCAGTAAAACGTCAGGACAAGAAAGTTGGCACCAGGAGGACAACAGGCTTCTGAAGGCGGGGCCATCTGAAACGACTACATCAAACTGCCTCTCGATGCTTATTTGAACTTTGACGCCGAACTTTTTATCAAGATAGCAGTTGAAGTTCTCGGCAGACAAAAGCCTAACAAGGAGCGTCCCATCGTGCTGCAGACGCGCCTGGTAGTGCAACCATGCAAGGAGATAGCGTGATAGATCCAGCGAAGAATTCTCGTGACTTCAGACAATTTGACGGATATTTTGATTTGGTATAAAAACGTTCCCAGAAGCGTCTCACTGTGGTGCAGACCCGCCTGGTTGTGCGGTCTTGACCGCCTGAACGCTTTCTCGAACAGGAAACGGCATGGTAGACTCACCGGTGATTCCCAAAGGACACATTCAAAAAGGAAACGGAAGTAATAAAAACCGTTTCCAAAACCTTTCCGTGCTGCAACCCGGCCTGGTTGTGCGGAGCTGATCGCCGGAGCCCTTTCTCGAACCGGCAGGTGGCGTGGTAAATCCAACGGAAACCTCCAGTAGTTTTCCGACAGGGTCAAGGAAAACCGCAGTGTTACATAAACGTCTCCAAAGGCGTCTTACCGTGCTGAAGACCTGCCTGATTGTGAGGTGCCCACCGCCGGAGCGCCTTCTCACATTGGGAGATGCCGTGGTAAGTTTACGAACAAATTGTGAATCTGGACAAACTTATGGTATAACTGAAGAGATAAAAATCGTTTCATAAGCGCCTTAACGTGCTGAAGACCTGCCTGGATGTGCGGTGCCGACCGCCGGAGCGCCTTCTCAAAGAGGGAGATAGCGTGAATCCACCAGAAGTTCTCGATAGTTTCGAAGTGATATACTGGAAAACCGCGACGATAAAAAAGTATTTAAAAGGCGGCTTACCGTGTTGCAGGCCCGCCTGATTGTGCGGGGCAGACCGTCGGAGAGCTTTCTCAAACAGGGAGATGGCGTGGTAAATCCACCAGTAAGGAGCAGGGCCGGAAGAGAGGCCATTGGCGGCCGGCGATTGCGGGAGTTGCAAAAGGGTCGCGAGGCCAGCCGGGGTTGAGATGGTCTGTGACACGTGGCGCACGGTACGTTATCAGGGGGTGATACTTTAACCTCACAGTTTGTTCTTCTGTCGCCCACAAAAATAGCCCAATTAGGTATTAATTAGAGAGCTAAGTTGAACACTGAAGTATGACAGAGTCCAGCAAACACGACGGCAATGTTCAGAAGCAAAAAATGCATGCGTAAAGGCCAGACCAACTACTAAGCAACATCTTTATACGGCCCATTCTACAGCTGAGTCATAAGACCAGATTGGACGCTCAAAGATAGAAACGGTCACCACAGGAGCATCAGGGATACTGCTCGTTCAGAGTCAGGAGCGACAGCTATGACTCCTAACTTCAAGAGTGTTCTAAGATGCGACTTGATGATATTGAACGTGTAACGCTTACCTGTTGCCACGCTGAGTCGACCCATTGCTGGCGGAGCGGAGCGAGGAGCCACTCCAAGACTTGAGCCTGGCGTTCGGCCCTGAAAAAGTAGGGTAATAAGTATAAGCAAGGACAGACCTTTGCCGAAAAGCGAGCGAAGTAGGCGGTTTCCATCCACAGTCTGCAGCATACTTCAATCTCCTTCGCGAGGGAGGCAAAACGCTAAATTAGGCAGGAAAGTCAGCTCTTGAACTGGAGACTCAAGCGAAAGATTTGTTCGCGTTCTTGGCTTTTGGAAAGATCCCTAAGAAAACCGAACCCCTTTGCATAGCTCGGCATTGGTCCTTACACGTCTCCATAAGGCAGCGAAAGCACGACGGAGATGGTTTGGTGCATTCGCCTTTTGAGTAAGACTTCGAACTTGCTGCCTTCAACTGCTTCAAAGCGCGGCTCTCCTTTCCTGGTAAATCAGTTGTGACGCAATGACGTCAGCAGAGAATCTAAGCCAGGAGGCCAGCAGAAGCACCAAGCAGTGACGTCAGCGCGGTGACGTCATCCTCACCCGGCGGAGGTGGAGATGACCATGATGGCTTCCGCGAGGCTGTTGTGCTCGCTCGGCGTCAGCTGGCCTGCGCTGTGCATTTGACCGATAGCGCCCGCGATGCTCTCCAAATGGGGGACGAGACCCGACCCAGCCGATCGAGCGACGCGCAGAATCGACGTGCAAACCTGATGAGAAGCGCAAGACGTTTAGCTTTCCCGTTCGTGAAGTGTTGGAAGCTTTAAAGGCCTAGAATTGATGTGGGATGTCATTTGATCAAGATCCGGCTGCGCTGTGCATCAAACGGCTGCGCTGTGCATTTGACCAATGGCGCCCGCGATGCTCTCAAAATGGGGGACGAGA